TTTAGAATGGAACAGCAAGATTGGAGCTATTGTTTGCTGCCCGTTTTGTTGTGTAGTAGCTGTGCTCTGGCTGTGAGGTGGAGCCAAGTGTGGTACCCTGAAAACATTGGCCTTGTACATAACAGTAAGACCATTCACATCTCACTGGTGTTGAAGGCTCTGCTGAAATGACAAATCCGTCAGTGCCGGGCTAAGGCGAGAGATGACTCGTCGTGCTCTGTTCTCAGTTATGTCAAGAAGTCGTAAATGAGATAGGGGCCAGGCAAACCAAGAAAGTGGTGCATACCCAAGGTGTGATTGCATTTGTGCCTTGTACAGATTGATGCAACCTCTACTGTAGAGCGAGTACAAGATACGCCTTAGTGCTATTAGCTTCTTGGCCGCCTTGCTTGCAAGATTTACTACATGGTTCTTCATTGTCAGTTTAGAATCAAATTTCACCCCTAGGATATCAGCCTCGTCCCCGGGTTCAAACACTCTCCCATCGTTCTTACTACTGCCCCAGCATTGCCATCATGGTTCCTAGAGACCTTCATCATTTGCATTTTGTCAGAAGGAAATGTAACCTGCCATCATTTTCACCAGGTTCACATGGCTGTAAGCTGGTCATTGATGTAAAATGGAGCAGCTGACATTTCCTATCTTGGATAAGTAATTGTCAGAGTGCAGTCATCTGCAAAGGCATGGGATCCTGGGATGAGGTGAAGAGGGTTATGTAAGTAGACATTCTGTAATAGTGGACCAAGTACACTTCCCTGTGGAACACTTGCACCAACTGAGTGTGTCTTGTTGACTCAGTTCCATTGACAACTACTCTCAGTCTCTGTCTTGCCCCCCTGTCTCTCTCTCAACACTCCCTCCCCTGACTATTGCCGCAACAAAATATGATCTCAACCGCAAAACGAACGTATAGTTTCAAGTTAATACTATTAATTAATGGCCGATATCAGATGAGTAATGGTCGTAAACCATTACCAAGTTTTCCTTTATTAGCTGGATAGTGCATTTGACATATTTTGGGCCCATGGGACAGCACTCTTTATTTAGTATCCAAACCTAACTTTATCAAACCTAACCCAGATTAGAAGCTAAATTCTAGGTTATGTTAGCTTGGGTTTATACCTCTTTGATTACCAGAAATAAAAAGCTTTTACCATACAGTTCCAAAATGCACCTCTGCCTGGTTTATACAACCTACTTTATTATTAGTGAATTTACATTTACGAAAAATGTATTCCCATTACCAAATTGAGGATCGAACCGCCAGCCTTCCCTGGGCTGGCTTGTCCACATGGGTTTATAGCTTCGTAAAACTATTATTATTATTATTATTATATCTCTCCCCACCATTCCCTCTTTCAGTTGCTCACTATCAAGGCGCAAAAAACTGTAACACGCTTCTCACTATGGACACGTATTGAACTGTCTTGTTCCATGTTCAACACTGAATCATTCCCAGGAAATTTAACTTCTTTTTATTTGTGTCTTTTACACAAAACTTAAAATGGAGCCTACAGTTCCCATACATACAAAGAAAATAATTTAAATTTATATAAATGGTCGAGTCGAGCCCACTTTCAAGGTCGCGGTGACGGTCCCTCCTGCTCCCTCTCTTTAAAAAAACCGAAGAGCTGTTATAAGGCCGGTTTAGAAAAAAATAAAACAGGTGAGTGTGACAGCAGGTTGTGACGTGGTAGCATTGATGCACTAGGAAAATGAGAAGACTGCAAGAGGGAAATAGCCAGGATTCACTTGTGAGCGTCAGCATGGGGGGAAAGACGACACACAGAGGTGGGAGAACGACAGGCAAGAGCCGCTGAGAAAATGGTGAGATTGAGAAGCAGACAGCCTCGTTGAGCGAGCCGGTTGGGCGAGCTAGGCGGGCGAGGTAGGGTACGGGGACGCTTGGGCGAGCTAGGCAGGCGGGCAGAGATTGACACAGCCGAGACACAGATACTGTGATGTTTCAAGTGAATTATTCAAGCTGTCGCTGTGCTTCTTACCACCATAACACTACGGGAAAAACTACCCCCTCACTATTTATCACCAGTTGCCACTTACTACTACTAGCAGTATCCTCTTAACACTACGAGACAGAGCACCTTATCACTACAAAAAAAAAACCACCTTAACACTGCCAGAAATACAACTTTAAGACTGCCAGAAGTAACCGCCTTTCACCCGTCGGCAAGGACTGTAGACCAGCACGTTTTTCTTAACAGATAAGCCGGATGTTCGTCATGACGAGGCTGTTGTTCTGACGCCTACTGTTCACTTCTTGGGCGGAGACTAGGATGTATATTATATATTATATATATATATATATATATATATATATATATAATATATATATATATATATATATATATATATATATATATATATAAACACTGATCTGACGGAGGGTTGTAAATGTTGAAGTTTTCTAACTGTAGTGTAAGCATGCCTCTGACAAAACAGTGATGAAGTGAATGGTGAATGATGAAAGTTTTTCTTTTTCGGGCCACCCTGCCTTGGTGGGAGACGGCCGATGTGTTAATAAAAATAAATATATATATGTCGTGCCGAATAGGCACAACTTGCGATCTTGGCTTAAATAGCAACGCTCATCTTGCCATATAAGACAAGCGAAAATTTGTGTATGCTATAATTTCGCCAAAATCATTCTGAACCTAACGAAAAAAATATATTTCACTGAGTTTGTTTAGTATTAAATTATTGTAAACTTATCTAAAATATATTTAGTTGGGTTAGGCTAAAATAAATTGCGCTTGTTATAATAAGGTTAGGTAAGTTTTAAAATTTTTGCAAAATGAAATTTTTTCATTAACATTAATGAAATATATCTAAAGTATAAGAGAAAATTTAGAAAGCTTAATTTAATGATTCTTGCTAATTGACCATTAAAAATTCGCAGACTATATATATAGTATAATAATAATAATATTTAGTAATATACTTATATATTTATATATATGTAGTTATATCATAATTATCATTATATACATATATATAATATATATATATATATATATTATATATATATATATATATTATATATATATATAATATATATATATATATATATATATATATATATATATATATATATATATATACATATATACATATATATATGGGTCTATGAAAGATGAGGTGAATCATAGAATGATGAGGGGAAAAGGGTGAGTGGTGCACTTAGGAGTCTTGGAGACAAAGAACTTTGTCCTTGGAGGCAAAGAGGGGAATGTATGAGAGTATAGTTTTACCAACGCTCTTATATGGGTGTGAAGCATGGGTGATGAATGTTGCAGCGAGGAGAAGGCTGGAGGCAGTGGAGATGTCATGTCTGAGAGCAATGTGTGGTGTGAATATAATGCAGAGAATTCGTAGTTTGGAAGTTAGGAGGAGGTGCGGGATTACCAAAACTGTTGTCCAGAGGGCTGAGGAAGGGTTGTTGAGGTGGTTCGGACATGTGGAGAGAATGGAGCGAAACAGAATAACTTCAAGAGTGTGATCAGTCTGTAGTGGAAGGAAGGCGGGGTAGGGGTCGGCCTAGGAAAGGTTGGAGGGAGGGGGTAAAGGAGGTTTTGTGTGCGAGGGGCTTGGACTTCCAGCAGGCATGCGTGAGCGTGTTTGATAGGAGTGAATGGAGACAAATGGTTTTTAATACTTGACGTGCTGTTGGAGTGTGAGCAAAGTAACATTTATGAAGGGGTTCAGGGAAACCGGCATGGCCGGACTTGAGTCCTGGAGATGGGAAGTACAGTGCCTGCACTCTGAAGGAGGGGTGTTAATGTTGCAGTTTAAAAACTGTAGTGTAAAGCACCCTTCTGGCAAGACAGTGATGGAGTGAATGTTGGTGAAAGTTTTTCTTTTTCGGGCTACCCTGCCTGGTGGGAATCGGCCAGTGTGTAAAAAAAATTATAAAATTAATAATATATATAAATATAAATATTATATATATATATATATATAAGAGAAGAGAGAGAGAGAGAGAGAGAGAGAGAGAGAGAGAGGAGAGAGAGAGAGAGATGATGGTCTCTAGGCACCATGATGGTAATGCCGGTGCAGTAATAAGGATGAATGGAAGGGTATTGGCACATGAGGAAGAAGTTGATGTCCTTTTGGTGAAGTTTGACTCCAAACTGGCCATGAAGAACCACGTTGTAAATCTTACAAACAAGGCAGCCAGGAAGCTTACAGCACTTCGCCGTATCTCGCATCTGCTTGACAGTAGGGGTTGCAAGATTCTGTACGAAGCACAAGTAGGCTCACACCTTGAGTATGCTCCACTTTCTTGGTTTGCCTGCCTCTCCTCTTATCTGTGACTGCTTGACAGAGTAGAGAACAGAGCAAGACGAGGGATGTGGATGGCCTTACTGGTATGTACAAGGCTAATATTGTTAAAGTACCACACTTGGATCCATTTCGAGGACAGCGTGAAGCAAGCTTCTATACCACAAGACGGGCAGAAAGCAGCAACTTCACTCTGGCTGTACCCTTCTCCAGAACATCACTTCATCTGAGATCATACATACCCAAGATGACTCGAGTATGTAACGCATTAGTACAGAATGATGATGTCAACGAGATAAAGTCAGTTGATCAAATGAAAATGCTGGCCGCCAGATGGCTCCAACTTCATCCTGTTTCCTACTCGTATGTCTCATGACAATAAAAATGCTTTCAAATGATCTGATGTAAGTAACAGCTCGTAGCTTGCCAATAAAGTTAGGAATCCTTAACCTGTAAATAGCTTGTCAATAAAGCTAGGGATCCTTACCCTAACCTTGTCAAACCCTATTTAAAAGAGAGAGACAGAGAGAGAGAGAGAGAGAGAGAGAGAGAGAGAGAGAGAGAGAGAAACAGACAGACAGACAGACAGAAAGATACAGTCAGACATACAGAACGAAGGAAAATAATTTTGGTCTGTAGAAAGCATGATTTTAATTTTAGAATAATGGTAAGAATGAATGGAAGAGTGACAATATCCGGGGATGGATATTCTAGTGGTGAAATATGACCCCAAAATATCTATTAAGGATCTCAAGGTAAATCTTACAAGCCAGGCAGCCAGGAAGCTAACAGCACTAACTGGTGCCTCTTTTCCATTAAAGGCTGCAAAACTCTGTACGAGGCAGTGCCTGACCCTTCACCGGCTCATCTACGACACTGTACGTAACAACTTGTTGTTACATATAGTGCTAATGTTATCAAAGTATCACACTTAATACCACGTCGTTATCAGTCAGAAGACAGCTTCTGTTACCACTAGATGGGCAGCAAACAGCACACACACTATGGCTCTACCTTTCTCAAGAGCATCACTTTATCTTCTATTATTCGTTCCTAGTATAACGCGTGTTTGTAACATGTTCTTTCAACTATCACACGTCAATAAAGTAACTACGTCAAGTGACCCAATAAAAGGTATAGTTGTCGGCTGGTTGCTGCCTTATTTTATTCCGTATTTCTATGTTTAAAAACTCGATTTTCTTTAACGTTTACATGTTTTAATAAATCACTTCTAACTGTGAAGAAAACTGAAATTGCCTCATATTTGAATATTTTTTTTTTACAGAGCAACACATTTGCTTTTAAATTTTCCTTTTAATCTTATTCATTACTGTAGAAAATTGTGTTTATTGTTTACTGGTATATAAGAAATGTTTCAATGCTTCAAATAATGTAGACATTTGAGAGAGAAATAATGTTAGTTAAACATTAGACAAGTTCTTAGTTTGTAAATAATGATAGAAAAACTTATTCTTCCCTTGAAAAATCATTGTTTATAATGAGTTAGAGTGTGTGTGAGAGATAGAGAGAGTGAGAGAAAGAAAGAGAGAAGGGGGCATGGAGGCAAAGTGAAGTTGTAAGAAACGATGGGAGGATGACTGAAGACGCAGTAGAAAAAAAAGTGGGAACCATGTTTTAAGACTGGAGGCAGAAAGGGGGCAGAAGGAAAAAAAAACATATATAGAGAGATAAATGGCAAGACAGACGTATAAATTAATATTTTTCACGTTAACGGGAAAAGGAAAACGTATCCACGAGAAAACAAAAAATATGACAAGTGTCGAGGGAAGAGAAAGAGGGAAAGAATGGAGGATGATTTCTTGCAAGAAAGAGATAAGACAACCATGAGGAATTCCTTGAGACAGCGACTAAGAGTGATGTCGAAATGAGACTATTTTTCCTCGCCATAGATTGCCCATGCAAATTTTTAAGAATTTTTTGAATATGAAACATTATTCCAACACATAAAGTGGAGTACAACAAGAACAAGTGGAGTACAACAAGAACAATTGGAGTACAAGAATAAGTGGAGTACACCAAGAACAAGTGGAGTACAACAAGAATAAGTGGAGTACAACAAGAACAGGGAGTACAACAAGAACAAGTGGAGTACAACAAGAACAAGTGGAGTACAACAAGAACAAGTGGAGTACAACAAGAACAAGTGGAGTACAACAAGAACAAGTGGAGTACAACAAGAACAGTGGAGTACAACAGAATATGTGAGTACAACAGACAAGATGGAGTTACAACAAGAACAATGGAGTACAACAAGAACAAGTGGAGTACAACAAGAACAAGTGGAGTACAACAAGAATAAGTGGAGTACAACAAGAACAAGTGGAGTACAACAAGAAAGTGGAGTACAACAAGACATGAGTAACAACAAAACAATGGAGTGCAGAACAAGTGAGTACATACAAGAACAATGGCAGTAAAACAAGAACATGAGTGCAATGACAAGTGTACAACAAGAACAGTGGATGTACAACAAGAGTGAGACAACAAGAACAAGTGGAGTACACACAAAACAAGGAGACAACATAACTCAGGCGCCATCCAATCATTAACCGTTTTACAAAATAGGTACATTCGATGATCAGCTAGCTGTTCTGTCACATAGCCAGGTGAGAAGTAAAATCCTGGTTCCTCTTTATTTTCCATCCCACAGGATGGGTTCCATACATTAAGTAATGAAATATGATAGCATGAGATGGGAGGTTTCGACCAAATGATTTTCGTTGGAGCTGAGAGCGACTTCACAGACAATAAAGGAAGAGAGGATAAGATGATGTAACTACAACAAAGCAGAAGAGCCGCACGTATCAGTAACAACTCCACTTAGAAACACACGACATTAGTGTCTTGCAGTGCAAAGCGCTCGTCATTTGTCTTGCCATGGACCACAGGAACCGAGGTCCTCACACATCCACAAAAGCAATATTCATGAGGACGCTCAACCATGCATCTTTCCTGTCTTATATCAGAGGACAGTGATAAATTCGGAGGGATCTGCCAGCTCCTCCACCAACCAGGTCGTCCAACTTTCTTTTTTTTTTTTTTTTGCTCCCAGAAGGTAAAGACGTTACTTCAGGTGATTCCACTTGTACTCACCTTACCTAGTTGTACTCACCTAGTTGTAGTTGTAGGGGTCGATTCACAGCTCCTGGCCCCGCCTCTTCACTGGTCTCTACTCAGTCACTCGTGTGTGTGTGTGTATTTGTATAATCATCTGTATGTGGTTGCAGTGGTTAAGCTTCAGCTCCTGGCCAGGCCTCTTAGCTGGCTAATGTTAGGTTCACTCTCTGCAGAAACCCCTATCGTACTTCTTCTTAAAGCTATGTTTGGATTCTGTCTCTTCCACTCAACTCTCCAGGTGGTCCCACTTCCACTCTAAGGCTAAGAAATACTTCCTAACATCTCTGTGACTCATTTCAGCTTTTAACTTCTAGTTGTGCCTTCGTGTTCTTGTTTCCATGTTTCTCGAAATGTTTGTCGCTGTCTACATATTACAAAATTCTGAGAAGAATTGATATTATTTTTATATCGCCCTTAGTCCTTCTCATTCAAATGTCAAAAGGTTTAGCTCCTTAGTCTCTCCTCTTAGCTCATACCTCTTAACTGTTGGTCTAGTCTTGTTTCAAACCTTTGCACTTTGTCCAGTTTCTCGATATACTTGATCTGGTGTGGGCTCCACACTGGTGCTGTATACACCAATATGGGACTTGAAGTATGCCGCATACAGTGTTGTGCATGACTCCTTGTTTAGGTTCCTGAAAGCTAATCTGAGATTTGCTAGACGTGTATTTGCTGTAGCAGTTATTCGGTGGATGTGCTCAGGCGATATGTTCAGTGCAATGCTCACCTTGACGTCCTTCTCAGTGAGGTCTGCAACTTTGCTCCTGGGCCTGTACTTCATTTGCTACCTGGCTGTCCCCTTTCCTAAAATTTTGAGCAACATTTATCTTCCACACCTCTAGAAGATTGTAGCGAGTGGCTGATATAAAGCTTCTTTCTCAGTCCCTTGACCTGGGGAGTTATTTTTTTTTTTGGTGTCATTGCTTTCCAGGTATCTAGCTGGCTCAGTAACTTCCACACCTCTTCTCCTGTCATATATACTGTATCCGGTACTCATTGGTGCACTCAACCTCTTTGGCTCTGTGATTACATACTTATGTTCCCGAGAATACTTCCTTATTTTTTTACTGAGCTCCTACAAACTTCTTCGTCACTTTTTTGAGAACTGTCGTCCTTTCTTCTGCGTGATTACTTATCCTTTACTGGTGTCTACCTGCTGATATAGCTGTATACCAACTATGGATAGGATATGGCTTTCGATGCCGTAACCTGTCTTTTTGCCCATTTATAATCTTTTAATGGTGGTTCAACTCGCTTGTTTTGATGCATTCATGCCATGTATACTTTCTCCATATTTTGGCACTTAAGGTTTGACCTCCCTGCATTTCTAGGTGGCCCATGGGCTCACTCTGTTTATACCATGGCTACTTTTTCTCCTGGATGAGAATTTCTTCTCTGCCTCCCGGAGTTTCTGGCTAATACTCAAACATTCAATTCGCTATTTTTCTTTCCAGACCCATTTTACACAGTACCTCCTTCAGAATTGTTTCATACCTATGTAGTGTTCGCTTTTGAAACTTGGCTTCTTTTATCCTTCCAGTGTTGCTTCTCTCCTCCTGTTAGGACCAGTCAGTAACACCGAGGGCCTTGCGTAATGAAAATACTCTGTCAGAATCGCTCGGGGTGAATAGAAGGTCATGTCTTAGTGGTTCAGTCCTGCCACTCTCTCTGACAGTGCCCTTGTCATGTTGATTCATGAAATTCTTCATTACTACCTCCGGCATCTTAGCACCTCTATGTTTCCGGTCCCCTGGGTGGCTGGAGGTTCTCCTTAGTCTTATTCCCTGTAGCTCCAGTGTCCCTGGATCAGCAAGTTTGCAGTGCCATTGATATAAGACACATATGTAGTGGTTTTAAATCAAATAATATACTGTGACCATCCGATGATCGAACCCGAATCATTTGGCTAGGCTACCGGGAAGGAAGCTAAATTTCGCCACAACGAGCACAATCGTGGCTATAGGAAGCTACAGTAAATAAATTAATTCTCCTCCCGTTTAGATACCAATCTCATGAGCACTACACATATAAATGCATCCACTTACTGCGTCTATGAGTGGCATGTCCAGTGTACCTAGCGTTTATAGCATAGTGGCCTAGTGGACTAAAGGATCGAAAAATTTACCTAGTGTCCCTGGACTGGAGGCTGGTCAGATATCTCGGGATCGATCCACAACAAGTTGCAGTACTGTTAATTTGAGAAATCACTGCAGGTCTTGGAACACGAAAGTCGTAGAGCTATCATTCAACTCCTTCTGAGGTTATTTTGCATATGTGTCGCTCGTTCGCGATTACTGCATTATATATATATATATATATATATATATATATATATATATATATATATATATATATAATATATGTATGTATGTATGTATGATATATATATATATATATATATATATATATATATATATATATATATATATATATATTATATATTTATATAGTTACATAATATGGTACAAAAGATTTAAGATACATTGTTGATATAAAGGTGGCATATACGGTACATGTTACGTGTGTATCACCGATTATAAGGCGAAAAACTCATCCAGCTCCTCAGAGCTGGGGCGTGTGCCCAAAATACAGCAGGCATTACCCCTTTGAACAGCGGCACTGAGCCGCTGGATCAGAAAACTAGCTGCCCTCGGATCCCTAGTTACCTTGATGAGTCTTTTTCCCAGCTCCGTAAGGAATTTAGATGCATTCTTTCCCCATGAGCTAAGGGTCTCTGAGCCTATGGGAACAAACATATAATGATGGGCAAGTTCTCCATATTTTCTAGACTTTTGGGCCTCCCTGAAGCTGGCAGCGGCCCCTCCTTCCCCCCTGGTGTATTAGAGATAGGTATCAGCCAAGGAAGATGCACATGTGTAGTCCCACACCACCTGCTTCCCATCTGTCCAGGCTTGAAGGGTGACACCATCTGGATGCTTCTGTCTGCCATCAGATCTGCATAGATGGGGTGGCTCCCTTACTGCTGGGCATCCGGCTGTTTTGAGGCTCCTCTTGATAATGTTATTAACCTCCTCATGTCCTGCAATCTTTCCCTCGGATTTACGGCACACAAGGGGCGGCAAGTCGAAGGGCAACACCGATGCGGATGGTCTGTGGGTCGAGGCGTGTGCCAAGGCTGGAGTTGGGAACAGCCAACAGAAAATCCCCTGCATGAGGGGCTCTCACTGCCAGGAGGCGGGCTCTATCCTTCCCTGACACACTCTGAAGCATAGTTGAGGCTATATTTTCCACTATTAGACCATCCCAGTGAGATTGTTTGTAGTTGTTGGGGGAGCAGGTCTGGTTTCAGAGCCCGTTAGATTATTCCAGATCATGGCTCCGTCAATGAACTTTTGGTCCTGGACTCCAATCTTGCCCCTAAGATGTTCAGGGAGAATCGCTGCTACAAGCTCTCTGGATGCAATACATGAGGACAGAAAAGCAGGTAGCGCAATCTGTGAAGACTTGCGGACACCAATGCCTCCTAGTCTGACTGGAAGTGTAGCTTGGTTTTAAGTACTTTCGTAAAAATTTGCCTCAGGATACTGTCATATTCGTGCAGTATAGGGTTATCATATGAGGGTGCACATCTTAGGAAATATGTCAACCTGGGCAGACTCAAAAGCGCTTTGTGAGAAGGTACAAGGCATCGTGGCTGTCCAGATTGCCTATTCGTTGTTCCATTCTCCTTAACTCTTCCAATTTCTTCCTGAGAATTGTGCCAATGGCATTGCTTCCCAGAGGTGCTCCTAGCAAGACACTATTTGTGGGGGCAATGACTGCTGCTCCTGGTAGTTTTGATCTCACTGCATTTATCATTTGTTGATTGACTGAGATGATTTCACATTTGGATGGATTCAGGATGAGACCCATTTCCTGTCCCTGTGTCATTACCTGTGTAAGATCATGTAGGAGGGACTCTTTGTACCTGCTAGTGTGCCATCATCTAAGAACCAGATGTTTAACTCGCTGGTCAGTCTGACTGTGATTTGCCTAACTGCTATACAGAAGAGAAATGGTGCAAGAGGATCTCCTTGTTGGACACCCTCCGATGATGTGATTTCATGCTCTCCAAAGAGAAGCATTGATTCCTTGCTATACCCAGCTGAAACAAAAGGAAAGAGGCCAGGGAAATGTTCTTGTACTGCTGCTAATACCACGTCTCCTTTCAGAAGATTGAATGCATTCTTGAAATCTAATTTTACCACTGCATTGTCCTCGGGCAGGTTGTTGATATACGCCCTTGTTGCATGAACCGCTGCTTCACTTCCTTGAGAGACCCCAAACCCAAGCTGGTTTGGTTGAAGCATCATGGCTGCCTGTGCACGAATACTTCGGACAGCAGCTTTGGATACGAGGCGGCGTAACGTGTTGCCTACTGCAATTGGCCGAATTCCTCCATACTTCTTTTTAAGTGCACGAAGTGTTGCACCAAAAAAGAAAGGTCTAATTTCATCAGGAATCAGACCAGCCAAGGAATTGTTGACGAACCTTGTGATCTCTGAATGCAGTGCTTCTGCAATTTCCCCAATTACTGGATTAACAATTTCCTTTAAATGCTGTGGCCTTATTCCAGTGTAACCCCCAGCAGAGCCAGATGGGAACGACACTATTGCTTTGTAAATGTCTGAGTCTTCCACAATCAATGGTTCCACAGTGGGGACAAAGGTGTTGGAACTGTTGGTGCCACTGGTTTCCCTGGCAGGGTGCTTTCCTCTAAGTGCTTCAGCCGTGTCAGCATCCCTGGGAACAACTGTATCTTCACTGCTAATAATTCTGATTGCCCCCACTGTGTTGCCCTCTTCAATTTTCTTGCTCACCTGGACTCTGACTTTTTCACTGTCAGTGGAGTGAGTGGGGGTTCTGCCTCTCCCTTTTTTGTGTTGACGGGGAAGGCGAATGAGGTTATCAGCTCTAGGAAAATCTCTTAAGGATTTAATTATCATTGAAGCTAGTCACTTTCTCCTTCTTTCCGGCACAGCTAAGCAGACATTGCCAAAAAGTAGCAAGTTGTGCCATGCCTTGATGGTTGGTGGAGCATTTAAGATAGTGGAACTATCGCTTACTTTTTTCAGGAGGTCTGTAAGTTTCCCAGCTGCGTGTGGACGGGCTGCTTTGGGAATATGTGTGAGTGTCCTGGTACCTGTTGCTTTAATTGCTTCCAAGATATTGTCTGATGAGATGAGATCTGTTGGAGTGGGTTCAGGTGCCTGAGGTGGCTCTGGATCATCACTTTCCACAAAAGGACATCCTAAATCAGGGCAACTACCGTGTTTGCGGAGGAAACCATTAGAGTTGAGACAACGAAGCTGTAAGCATGACCGACACTTGCCTCTCCTAGTATTGCCAGCCGTGCCATTTCCCTGGCTGCTTGCTTCCTCCTGGTTGGCATCCATCTGCTAAGAAGTCGAGGTTGAATGATCTAGTTGACGGGCCTAGTTGACGGGCCTACTTGACGGGCCTACTTGACTGGCCTCCTTGACTGGCCTAGGTGAAGGGTCTAGGTGACCAACCCTGCCGGGCAGCGGAAGTGGAAAAACTCTGGTCACAGGTAAAGCACGGGTTAAGTATCCGAAACTGAGATAACCCAAAGTTAACCTTTTCATTGTGATACAACGCTAGTTAGGTGGGACTCTTGCATTCACTTCTAAATTCATGACTTACCTCCATCCCTTTATATAACACGGTTGGTTTCAAGCCTATCGACTACACGAAGGTCATTTCACCAGTACACCATCAATAAGCTATAGTTATTAAAATAAATTCTCTGTGTATGTACACAAAGATATACACATCTCAGTGTCTATACACAGATATACACGCCTCGATGTCTATACACAAAGATATAGACGAGTTAAAGGTGTATAGTGGCAGCAGTGTTGACACAGCTCACAGGTGAAACGTCGTGTTATGATGACGTCATATATATGGTGAAACGTAAATGTAGTCTAAGAAAAACGTCTAGTAAAAAAAAAAGAGGTTTTATATTCCTTTTCGGAGGCTAAGAGCCTCTGCTCTCCTGTCTGCTCTTCCTATACTGTCTGCTCTCCTACTGTCTGCTCTTCCTCTCCTGTCTTCTCTCCTTCTCCCGTCTGCTCTTCTTTCCATGTCTGATTTCTCTCTCATTTCTGCTGTCCCTCTCCTGTCTGCTCTCCCTCTGCTGTCTTTCCTCTCTCTCCTGTTTACTCTCCTTTTTGTGTCTGTTCACTCTTTCCTGTCTGCTCAGCTTTTTAATCATGCTCCCCTCAGCCAATCTGCTTGCTCTCACTCTCTCTCTCTCTCTCGCTCTCTCTCTCTCTCTCTCTCTCTCTCTCTCTCTCTCTCTCTCTCTCTCTCTCTCTCTCTCTCTCTCTCTCTCTCTCTCTCTCTCTCTCTCTCTCCCGTCACATGTTGTACATTACCATGTCATTACACCCCTGCCACAAATGTTGTACATCACAATGTCCTCACTCCCTTGCCACACATGTACATTACTGGCCTCCCTGCTGTTGCGTGCACTAACAGAGTTCTCTATGGTGGTGGCAGGTGGAACGCTCTGGCAAGAACGTGGTGGTCTTGAGAAACATCTCTCACGACTCGGCTGGCAGATACAAGTGTGAGGTGCTGGCTGAGAGACCAAGCTTTGAGAAGGACGCGGTCATCAATCACATGGAAGTTATAGGTAAGCTGCACTTACCTTCCACGTCAGTGAGAACCAGGCCCAGCTTGAAGATCTCTTGCCACTTCTGTAATATAATATTATTATTATTATTATTATTATTATTATTGCTATGTTTTATTATGATTATTGCTCTATACACAAAGCTAAAATTTAATATTGAGTTTTGTATTATTCTCGATCACAGTGATCTATGTTGCTAAGCCCGTTGCAAACGGATCCAGAAAATCTTCTAATGGTAGATACAGACCATCTAATGTATTCCTCCATTGTTATGTTCTAATGAGTGAGAGGGATTGGAGCTGAGTGGCACTTGAGCAACATAACTTAGAAGGATTATCGAAGCTGATTCCTTGGGTAGCTTAGAGAACAGGTTGGACAGATGTTGTTCTTAGAGGGATAGAATTGGAGAAGGACCTGCCTAGTATGGACTAGTAAGCTTGCTGCAGTGTTCGTCCATTCTCACATTATTAATCCTCGTTCTAAATAAAACAAGGTATCAAATTCTCGCAAGTAAATGAATAAGACATATCTGTATTAACAGCAGTGTTCCAACGGGTTCAGTACTGGACTCCTAATTGTTCACAATATACATAAACGATACAGATAAGGGAATAGAGACATATTACGAACACAGGTGCAGAATATTGGCCTGCACACCTTGCCGGAGCACGAAAACCAATTAGGAACGAGCAAATAGGCAGCAGAGACAATAAGGGTTTATATTTGTTCACCAAAATAAGCTGGTACTTACAGTGTAAATAGCCTATGTAAAGTATTTACAGCTGTGTATAATGAGGCAAAAATGTAAGCACAAGACACGGTAAAAACCGCAGTGACCAACAGTGAAGGCAAGTCTGCCAAAGCTGCTTTACGAGCGTCCCACGTCACTTCACAGCATTGGCAAGCTTCCTTGTGATTGGCCGGTTGTACCAAGGTACTGGTATAACGATGGGCCCGTGATCGTGTGTAACATACTCCGAATAAAATATAACATTCTCTTAGAATGCCACAAGACATAAACAAATTTGCCGATGACACTAAAAATACGAGATAAGAAGTAGTTTGAGATAATCATTCCCTCAAGCTGGAGTCGATGTTCTCAGTCGATCAATCGTGATAAAAGTACAGCATAAGCTCCGAGAAAGAGCTTCCTATCTTCCACTGTTCTTCTCTGTACTGGACTGAAGAAGTAACTGGCTAGCGAAACGTGTTGCACAATCCTCATTCATCAACTTAGCTTGCTGGCCTATGTTAGGCTAAGCCATATCACACCCTCTCATATACATGTCCAGCCTATTTTTAAAACTAACCAAAGTCCTCTTTACAATAATGCTACAAGGTATCGTCTTCTATTCATTCACAACTATTGCCAAACTAGTGTTTTAATATATACTTGGTAAACCTAAATTAGTCCAACATAAATCCATTGCTGAGAGTCCCGTCTTGGTTAAACATTTTCAGCTCGTTATTTATATCTCCTTTATTCCTGATTTCCATTCGTACACTTCAATCATTATTTATATCTACTTTATTCCTGATTTCCATTCGTACACTTCAGTCACATTTTCCCCTACACCATTCCAGAGAGTGAAAATTATGAACAATTCAGGATGTTAATTAAATGGTAAATCAAAGTCCTGAACTGATCGTTATTGTCCTTTTCCACAGACGTTCTCTTATATTGTGTATTTATGTTCATTCTGTTATGAAAAGACCAGAACTGAGCAGGAGATGGAAACTGTGAACATTTAAAAGCATCTACTGTTGGTATCTATTCTCAGAGAGTTAAATACTTTTTTGTTTACCGTTTACATTTCTTGTTTATGGTCGTTAAGGGACATTAATTAACGGAGAAATATAATAAAAAACTAATTAAAAATGTTAATCGAAATCAGTAAAAGGTTTTAATTTAAATGACAATACGGTATAAACCTTGGTAATAAATACGGACAAGATGGTTTAGAAAGACACGTAAGCAAACACTATGACATATTTATTAGAAAACGTTTCGGTCCTGGGACCTTGATCACTTCTAACATACAGAGGTAGAAAGACATTATATATATAGGCGAAGAGTGAGGTGTGAGTGACGCATGGTGACCTGAGGAATATCATGTTGGGATGAGGACGGGTAGACGATGAAATCATGTGACTCCTGTGTTGTTGGGTTGGTGCTGCTTAAGTATCATGTATGCCAATGTTTTTGAAATTTTGTAGTTTCCAGTGTTACGTTCTATAGTGTCGGTGACGGCGATTAGTGAGGCTTCTAGGCACCGTCGGTGTCTGAGGTCTGGTTCGGTGAGAACGAGTTGTGCCTCATTCCAGTTCATCAAATGCCCCGTGGAGTCTCTGTGGAGGACACAGGCGTACCTTACATCGTCTCTGTTAGAGGCATTTCGATGCTCATTCAGGCGGACTGCAAGATCTCTGCCTGTCTCGCCTACATATCTTTTGGGACAGAATCCACAGGGGATAGTGTAGACGCCTGCTGTAGAAGTTAGAGTTGTGGGGCTGCGTTTCGTAGAGAGGTCTTTGATAGATGATGTGTTTATAGTGGAAACGTTGATGTTACTCATAGCAAGTGCCCGGCGAGTATTTGTGGCAACATCGCCACATGGGAGCACTATGAACTGCTTAGGGAGCTGTTCCATGGGCGGTTTGTTGAGGATAGTTTGTACCTTGAGTCTGCAATCCCGGATGAAGAAAGATGGGAACTGAAGACGTGTAAAGACTTGTGTTATGTAAATACAGATAGGTAGGCGAGACAGGCAGAGATCTTGCAGTCCGCCTGAATGAACATCGAAATGCCTCTAACAGAGACGATGTAAGGTACGCCTATGTCCTCCACAGAGACTCCACGGGGCATTTGATGAACTAGAATGAGGCACAAGTCGTTCTCACAGAACCAGATCTCAGACGCCGACGGTGCCTAGAAGCCTCACTAATCGCCGTCACCGACACTATAGAACGTAACACTGGAAACTACAAAATTTCAAAAACATTGACATACATGATACTTAAGCAGCACCAACCCAACAACACAGAAGTCACATGATTTCATCGTCTACCCGTCCTCATCCCAACATGACATGCTTCAGGTCACCATGCGTCACTCACATCTCACTCTCCGCCTATATATATATAATGTCTTTCTACCTCTGTATATTAGAAGTGATCAAGGTCCCAGGACCGAAACGCTTTCTAATAAATATGTCATAGTGTTTGCTTACGTGTCTTTCTAAACCAAATGATAATATAACGAAACCCTACAAAATTAATTCTATATCAGTAACTCACGCATGTTAATACTAATAAAAAAATCTATATATAAAACGTCTATAACAAAATCACTCTTGAAAATTAAACTAGAGGGCTGCTATTGTATTGTCAATTTTTATTGTCAGGTCATCAAGGATAACCTTCCATTTATTACGAAAGTAGAGCAAATTATTACTCCATTTGATCAGCCACTAAGTTCCCTTCATCTGGCTGTAATAAAAGTTCAAAATAAAATAATACGTTTAAAGACTGACCTTGACTAATTAAAATGTCAAAGATTTATTCAGCTACTGTTTAAAGCCAATAAACAGAATAATATAATATAACCAGGAATCAGTAATTGATAAATCAGTTACTTTCACGAACTAGAGTTAAATTTTAAAGTTTTTAAAAAATAATCTGTTTATTTAGTAGTAAATTAAAGCAAGTTATATAATTTCAATGAACAAAGTCATCACTTTACGCTCAAGATTATTAAAAAATATGTAACTGTATGAATAATAGAATAACAGAGGCAAATAAACGAAGATAATAATGATCCAACAGTTGTAGATGAATGGTTCAGTGAACCGACACGTTGTTAAATTAGACACATGTGCAACTCTTGGGTATCTTTATTGAGGAAACGTTTCGCCACATCGACTCAAGGTTGAGGGACTGATTACCTCATTCTCCTCCTGTTCATCAAGTTTATCCTTTGTATGGACTGATGAAACAACTGAGTGGCGAAACGTTTCCTCAATAAAGATACCCAAGAGTTGCACATGTGTCTAATTTAACAACGATCCAACAGTTGAAAAAAAGTCAGAATAATAATAAGAAATGGAGGTTTTAATTAAAGGTAAATTACGAAGCAATAAATATCTGAATATAACCGAATCTAAGTGAATCTTTCTAAGTTTAAAATAAGTATTTATATCATCTAAGAGATGATGCTTTAGTAATAAGCAAATTTTTATTAATAAGATTTTCATATGACCTAAAAATCTCTGAGGACAATTGAAAGTATTTTGTTTCATCACAGAAATATAAAATATTAACTTATTTATGTTGAATTCATCAGTGAATAAATCAGTAGATTTTTCCATGTAATACAAAGGGTTTGAAATTTCCTCATTATTGATTTTTTTAGAGGTTTCAAAACTTGGAATTTATCGACTTTATATTATATATATATATATATATATATATAATTATATATATATATATATTTTATATTATATATATATATATATATATATATATAATTTTATTTAACACACCGGCCATTTCCCACCAAGGCAGGGTGGCCCGAAAATGAAAAAAAATCCCCATCATTCACTCCATCACTGTCTTGCCAGACGCGCGTTTACGCTACAGTTATAAAACTGCAACATTAAAACCCCTCCTTCAGAGTACAGACACTGTACTTCCCATCTCCAGGACTCAGGCCCGGCCTGCCGGTTTTCCCTGATTCCATAAATATTACCCTGCTCACACTCCAACAGCACATGTCCTTAAAACCATTTGTCTCCATTCACTCTCAACACGCTCACGCATGCTTGCTGGAAGTCCAAGCCCCTTGTTTGGACTTTCAGCAATTTTGGCTTTTGGCTTAAATAGTAAAGCTCTTCTTGCCGAATAAGGGAAGCGAAACTTTGTGTACGCAATAATTTCACAAAAACCATTCTGAACCTAACGAAAAAAAATATATTTCATTGTGCTTGTTAATTACTAAATTA